CATTCGCCGAATGTGGCCTCAATTCAGGGTAGTGGGCGAAATTCAGCCACATCCATGAGTTGAACTCTTATGCCGCGTTTACCGGACTCGATAAGTCAGGGTGAAACACGCCCTTGGTTGGGTAATGGTAGCCTCCTGTGGTCAGTAAGCTCGAGGTCCAGACCGCGTACTAGTTTTGCAATCCAAATATGTTCAATTCAACCAGCTTAATGAACCTTAATTGGAACGAGCTCATGAGCTCAACCTTGAGCGAATAATATTTTCAATGAATATCTATTCATACCATTTCAAATTAGAAGGGACTCTTGAGAAGGTTCTAAGAATAATCTAGTCGCACTGACGATCTTTCTACAGCGCTTATGAGGAGATGCTCAGGTCATCTCGAGGTTGGAAGCCCTGAAAATCTTTTGGCTCTTTAGAATGAGGAGAATTTCTCAGAAATTCCACCTCAATGTTCCTTTTGGCTTCCGGAAAGCGGCCATTACTGCACATTTCTCCGGCGATGGATTCGAAGAGAATTCCAAAAAAACGTAATCACGGTCTTCATTGATGGTCCTCGTCAGTTTCGTCTGTTTTCAAAGAAATTCAAGCAACGGTTCGAAGCTGACTTGGCCGTGTAACATTTCATTTTGCTGACTCTTTAGGTCTTCAGTTTTCTTCACTGAGAAAACTCAGCGGGTGAGAAACAGGACCTCGAAACCATTTTCAGATCTTTGAGGGCAACAAAACCTTCGGAGCGTTATCCAATAGGGCAATTTTGTCACAAACCCATAGGCCATAAGCTGTCAGCGGTCAGCATTCGTGATCGTTTTAAAATGTCCAGCTTCGAATGGCCTTTGAGTTTTCTTCGGTGTTTTGAAATTTCATCGAAATCCTCTTGTTTCGTGGCGTAAAACAACAGCACAGATCGTGTAGTAGATATGGCTAGCCCGCCGCACTCCCGAGGGTAGGATTCAGTCCTTCTATCGATCAACAAGTCAGAACCCCTTCTCTTGGAAGGATCAAAAAGTGCTCAAAGGAGTTACCAATACCTTATGGAACCTTAAAAGACCAAGAACATAGAATGTGTCGCATAATTTGAATTTCTGAATAGCTCTGATGGGGAGCTCTCATTAGCCAGATTGAATCCTATCCTTTTTGCAGGTCCCAGGTTCAATGGAGCCCTGTGCAGATGATGCAAGCGTCGAGAAATCTGCCGGGAGGTCCAAAACTTAAACCTTTCTTGTATGAGCAGCCTAATCCCATCCTAGTCATGGGCGCTTTTTTTGGTTGATTAGTACTGCCAAGTATCAAAGGCTACCACAACAGACTTAAAAGGATCTTTCAGGGTGTGCCAAGCTTTTTCAAAACGGTCTTTTGCATGATATAGAGGCACATGCGGGAACCACAGAACCATGGTTAATTTTTCCTGAACGGCCCTCTGAATACCAGAAAAGGGGGTCCCTAGTCACACCTTTTTCACCAGTTTTTCAATCAAAGTCTATTTGTAAGGGTTACTGACGTTCCTAATCATGAATTTGGTACTAATTATTCATGCTAACTCCATTTTGCGCGAATTTGGAAACGTCAACTCGAAATGCAAAAATTGTCACCACGAGGAATCGAACTAGGGACCCCTTTTCTGGTATTCAGAGGCCGTTCAGGAAAAATGAACCATGCTTCTGTGGTCCCCATATGTGCCCCAATGTCATGCAAGAAACCATTTTGAAAAAGCTTGGCACACCCTGAACGACCTCCCTTGTTAGACGGGATATAGGGCTCGTCTTGAGATTGGTACTCAAGACCTGAGCGTTGTGCTGAGCTCAACGGGCGGGGAAGGATATCATATTTAGAAGACGGTCGTATCCCACTGATCTCTGTCACTCCTGTGATAGTGTGGTGAGGTTCTGTTCCGTCAGTGGGGTCGTTTTGGGGTTGGCTTTGGAAGTCCCGCAGTTTCGGGAAAAGTGCCTAAAGAAGGCGGATTTACGCCCCTTACCGTCAGAATTACGCTTGAATGCAGCTGTGGAGGAAATTTTGAGCACCAATTTAGAGTCACGGTTTCCCGTGTACAAAATTCAAAATGAGTCAAGTGTATTTTAGAAATAAATGTTCACAGTGGTGCGGATGGCGGTCGTGTGAGTTGCTAGGGTGGCTAACGAGAAGGGGTCCTGTCGAGACCCTATAGGAGAGGGACCATGAAAGTACCGAAATCAACACTGACATCGCCTTGGGACGAAACTGGTGGCCAAGTTTTCCTGACACATTGTTCATCCTGACTCCACGTTATCACTTCTGCGTGTGCAGGCTCAAATCGCTATTACCAATCAACTGAATCCTTTTTCAGGTAATTTTCTGGCCTATGCTGACGATTCTCTACTAGACGTTTGAAATCAATTTTTCAGTCTTTGTTTTCTGTTCACGTCGTGCAGAACATCCGAGATCTCCTTAGTTCAGCAATTATGCATGAATTGTCTCCGATGTGCATGCGCTTTCTTGTAATTACGTATACAACCCTCCCATCCCCCCCCCCGCGGCCTGTAGTAGCACATCTCATCGTGTTGTTTCACGCATCATGTATGAGAGCCAGTAGCTCCGCCTCTCGCGTAAAGCTTATTCACTGCCAGAGCTGATCGCAGCAAGTCGCAACATCCGTTTCAATTCCTCTGCCATTGTCGAGAAACGCGTTGCAGAAACTCGCCTCAACACTTCCTTCACCCAGCTTCAAATCAAGCCTCTTTTATGTTTCGCTCGGATGAGCAATTCGTAGAACGTCCTTTATTTACTCAAAATGGCACCTAATGGCTCATTCGACATTTCTTCAGAGTATCTCCTTTAATTTCCTCCTCTTAATCCATATTTTATGGTCAATGATTGGGCTAGGAGATTCTTTACCTAGACATTTCATACAGTGAAGGTTTCTCAAAGATAGTCATCGGAATGATATTTCGCCCCCTCCCATACTCGAAGAACCTTTACCCATTTCCCACTATTGAGGGTATATATCTTGAATGATAACTAAGTTCCTCAACGGTTGAGCATTCCACAGTAATTTTTTTTTTTACAACAGGCTCCCCCCGCCCCCTCGATGTCTCGCATTTTTTCTGGGCTAAATAACTGAGCTCTATTGCGAGTAGACTTTGTTTCCGAGACATGGGTGAATATATCGTGAACGTTTCTATTTTCAAGAGTACTACGGAAACAATTTTTGTAATTCATTCACGTGCCCTCTCTTATAGGCAAGAATACGGCAGGTGACATCTTCTCAGCTAACTTACCGTAGTGGATTATCGAAAACACTTACGGCAACTGGATGAATCACTGCAAATGGTTCTATTCACTCAATCAACCAGTCCGCCTACAGACTGCACTGGTTTCGATCGGATCACACTGGGTGAAGCTTCTCGGAAGGTCGCTAATCTTCGAGGTTTCCAAGGGAGACAGAGAGCATTTTTCCACTTCGCGAATTTGCAAATAAGATCACTTAAACACCGGGTAAATGAATACTCGCGTTCACTGTGGGAGATCCTGAGAAGTAAAACCCAACTCTGCCCCTCGCCATCTCCCATCCTTCGAGGGCTCTATCATAAGCCTTGGTTTGATAGAAGGTCGAGCTTTTCACCCTTTATAACCTCATTCTGATTTTTCTTTCCTTATTGCACACCTATCATCATGTATGTACTACATATGTATGTACTGTATGTGTGTACTATGTATGTATGTACTGTAGAATAATGACAGTGAAAAGGTTTCCGGCCAGGGTAGCCGCGAAATTGAGGAAGGACGGCCGGGTGATGAGAGCTTCGGCGGCGCAACGATGATTAAAGGGGTCTTAAGGCAAGCTTTTAGGGTTCAGTTGCGTTCTGCGTAGCTTTTGATAGGATAGGAAAATCTTGATATGTTCATAGGCATCAGAATCTAGAGCTAAATTTCGAAAGCAGTAATCGTCATGACGGAGGAAAGCGTTGTGTTTTCGATGACGTCAAGGGACGTTATCGCTGGAAGGGCAATTAAGAGGTAGGCCTAACCACACCCCTAGAGCGCTCAGGGGACTGGTCCACTGCGACGTTTGATAATGTTATCGAGACCGCGAAGGCCATCCAGTCATCGTGGTCACTGCTTTGAAGTCGTCCTACTCTCCGTGTGAGCGCTATCGCAAGAGGGCATCTCAGAGGGCATCTTCAAAAACGGAACCTAGCAGGTGCAGAAACTTTGAAAAGAGATGAAAGCCGTCACAGCTTTGTGGAGTCTCTCCTCATCCGTCTGAGTCTTAGTCCTGATTTCAACGAGAGTTTTACACAGTTCTAAATGGATTGTCAGAACAATGTCTCCCATTTTGTGGTATACGCCTCCGCTTGTTTTTATTATGAGCCAGTTTTCCAGGTGGGATTTGACTTCTCTATCAGTATTCTTTCGTGCTCCTGGCGCACTCGTGGCCATAGGCCCGCAGGCGCTACTTGATACGCTTTGGGTTATAGATCAGCCACTTAATCTGATGTGTTACCTGCTGGAAAGTGCCATCTGGAAGAAAGTAAGACGCGGTCGGCTTGCTTTCTCGAAATCACAGCTCCCCATACCCTTGCCCGAAAAGGGCATGGGGAATCCAACAGTTTTCTCTTTTACTTAATAACAAATGTGAATGTCGCAGCGATATTGCATGTACCTCCCTTAATATTTCCTGCATTACCTTGCAACGAATGTAGCGGTCAGGCGCTATCACAAGATAGGGGGCGTCCTTTAGACCTAAGCGTAAAGGGGCGGAAAACAAAAATTGCTCACTTACTCTAGAGTCTTTCCTCACCCGCCTAAGGTTTGGTCCCGATTATAAGGAAAAGTAGATGTTAAATGCAGTTTGAAATGCATTGCCATTAACAGTGCCCCCTTATCTTGCGTTAGCTGCCTAGAGCATCATCCAGAAACACGCTTCTTTTGAAGATGTATGATGGTGGTAGATAGATAGTGAGCAACAGATGAAGCCCAGATGACTGGCCTGCGGTAGGTGTGTAAAGATGAGAAACACGGCAGGGATAGCCAAGTGGTTACGAGTGTAGACTCATGTCTGCACGGCCGGCCGATTGGTAGCCTCATGACGACAAATATGTCCAACCGCGGGCTCTGTAGCTGTGGCGGGGTTAACGCTAGAGAAAAGAACGAAACAGGATTGTAAGCACTAACGTCCCCAACGAGTCTTCTTATTTCAGTAAGAAACTAAAAACTGATCATTCGATGTTGATCAAGTCTTTTAGGGATGCGCCATGCACTCTACTTCCGTACATACTCGCGGTGGTGTTTGAGTGTGATTTGTATTAAATCATGTATGGCATTACCTTCCAGAAACTTGACGTCCGAAGGGGGATCAGTAAATATCAGCTTTTTTATAGGCCTTTTTGTTATCTGCTCCCTTATATATCATTCGAATCAGCTTCTTTTGTGCAGCTTTCTGAAGATTAAATTAGCAGACGACGCATAAAAGGCTTTCCTTTAACATCTTTCTCCGGTGTGTGAACCGTTTGATAGACATCACGTCAACACGAATCATTTTTTCAAGGATTACGGAGTAGAAGACATGTGATTACCCAGTTGTCTAGTTCCTCATTCGAGAAGCTCAACAGTCTGGTGCTTTGCTTGCTGAAATTTCTCCTACATAAGGAGCCCTAGTATATGCTGAGAAACATTTCATACCATATCTGCTGCGTTTGATGTCCTTCTTTTGCCATGAATGATCTTGCTCGTACTTCCTCGTATTCGTCCACGATTCGTCGTTGTCTTCTTTCTGAAGCCAGTGGCACTCCGTATAAGTTTGTTGACGCTGTTTCAGTGGGTATACACACAAAATGCAATCAACATTCACAGAGACAACGCCAAATCAAGACAACATTCACAGTCGTTCTCGTATGGCCGAAGCACTTGCTTCGCGTGATCGCTAGGGCACAACAGTGTTACTGCTTTCCCTAGTTTTCGAGACCATTTCTTACTTTGTATATTTCTCTCGGTGAAAGCAGAACTATTATTTGGAAGCTGAACCCTCTAAAAACATTTTTACAAAGCTCTTTTTCCAGAGTGTGACCGTAACTAATTAGAAAGCTAATCTTTCAGCTTTTGCTTCTTAAAAATCTTCCACGGAAAGAGTGATCATTTTGTCTTGTGTGTAGGATTAGTATTATCGAAACTAACGCTTATGTTCCGTTCTTTTTGCTATGCTCATGAGGCTAGGGGCCTAAGGTATCGTTTTTCTGTGGTAATGGAGGCGGAGCTTTTTCCGTGGAAGATTCCTTTAAGAAAATATAAAAAATT